ATACCTGCTTTTGAACACCTCATTTGAGGTGTGACTTCTACTAGGTGCCTTTTAATGCATTAGGTTTTGGAGCAGATACTGTACAAATGACTAGCCTAATTAAGAGAAAAAGAAAAACCCCTAGCATTTCAGGTCAAAATCAGTGTAATGCAAAAAAAATTTCTCTGGTTCTCAGAAAGGCAGCTAAGGCAACTACACAGATGTGACCCAACATGTATGATTCAGTTCCTCTTCAGTAAATTTGGAACCTACAGGCCAAAATATACTTCATGTTTTTCTGAAAATTATCAGCAGAGACATATCACTGACTCTTCAATGGGAAAGCAAGGATAATTCAGCTGTTCTGTTAGAGTGTTTATTAGCTGGGTTTTTCCAGTGTTTTGTCAAAAATGATAAACCACTTTTCATTTTTCTCTGAAAAAAAGCACTAGCCAAAGTAAGTGGTCTAGAGGAACATCTTAAATTAGGGAAAGTATACACTGATGTCTTCCTTAATGCTCTGTCAGCCTTCAGGAGTTTGCAATCTAACATCTTCCTGTGCCAGAAGTAATTTTAATTTCTGTGTATTAATAGCTATCAACAGATTTCTTGTTTATGAATCTGCCTCTATGGGCACAGCTGTAGGAAGGCAAGCTCCGTTAGTTCTAATGTTCTCAGGAGTATCAATCCTTAATTTTCTATCATTATTGTTGCTGTGTCAAAGGTTGATTCTAGATACTATAAAAAAAACATTTTTTACTTAAAGATACCAGCTTTTTTTTTTATTGCCACCCTTTACGAATCTTCCACTTTAAGAATGTGTTGTGGTTTAACCCTAGCTGGCAACTAAGCACCATGCAGCCACTTGCTCAGTGGGCCCCAACAGGAGGATGGGGGAGAGAATTGGGGGGTGGGGGGGGGAATAAAACTCATGGGCTGAGATAAAGACAGTTTAATAAGACAAAAAAAGAAGAAAATCATAATAATGGTAATAATAATGATGATAATAAAATAATTAAAATATACAAAACAAGTGATACACTCTACTGTTACTCACCAACCGATGCCCAGCTAGTTCCTGAGCAGTGGCACCTGGCCAGCTTTCCCTCCAGTTTGTATACTGAGCATGATGTCACATGGTATGGAATACCCCTTTGGCCAGTTTGGGTCAACTGTCCTGGCTGTGTCCCCTCCCAACTTCTTGTGCCCCTCCAGCCTTCTTGCTGGCTGGGCAGGAAAGGCTGAAAAGTCCTTGACTTAGTGTAAACAGTACTTAGTAACAACTAAATACATCAGTGTGTTATCGACATTTTTCTCATACTCAATCCAAAACATAGCACTATACCAGCTACTAGGAAGAAAATTAACTCTATCCCAGCCAAAACCAGGACAGGATGGCATCAGTAGCTCTTTCTTCCTAATAGTAATGAACTTGAAGTTTCTCCGGGAAGTGTCTGTTTACTTAAGTGGCTTTGATTTGTATGAGTATTCAGTGGTCCTCATAGCTGGCTGTGACAGGTGCTGTGGGCCTAATGGTTAATGATGTTATCTGGATGTTTGATAACAAGATTTAACAAAGAAATGCTTAGCCAGAGGCTTACTGCTGAAGGGTCTTGAAGACCTACCCCAAACATGCTAAGTGCCTTAGTCCTAGAAAGGAAAACAGCTGGCAGCTGCAAGCTCAGTGCTTGCTCTTTGCCAATGAGTAATAGTTACATGGTACCTTCCTTCCCATCTAGATGAGTGCAGGATCATCATGCTGTTAGTGCAAATACTTTAGCCTATCTGTAGGCTCTTAAGACAAATGCTGTATGTAGTAGCATCACCTCAGGGAAAGTTAAGATGACTACTCTGAGACACTGTGCTGTTATAAATCACTGCAAAGCTAGCATGGGTGCTCACAACTGCTTGGTCTCTTGGTCCCAAACTATGCATAACGGAAGTGGTGCAATGATGTGAAATTAAACGTTTAATGACTTGGTTACTGCTGCTTGCTTCTCGCATAATGTCTTGGACAGGCTGCTTATTTCCCCTTTCTGCATGAAGAAATTTCCATTTCTTTGGGCCGATTCAGCCACAGTTTCTTACAATCCTCTCTGGTTCTTAAGTGTTTCTGGCTTTAAAAACGATGTTGTATATAATATTGTCAACTGAGCTTATATCAGCAGGACATCACTCAGGAGAATGGACAACAAATATGCTGCATGTGTAGGTTTTTTGAGTCTATCTGATCAAGCTGATAATAAATTTATATGAGAGTTGGGCTGTTGCTGTTTTACTTCTTATAACTGCAGAGATCACAGGCTACAGAAGGAAAGTTTGAGAGAATAACAAGGCTTTTAGTTTCAAATTTAACCCCTGGTTTCTGGAGGGGAAAAAATACAGGTCATCTGTATAAATATCTAGTGTCTCCCTTGCCATGTGGTTTAGTCTGGGAGTTATTTTATGTTAATGGAGACTGTGATACCCAACTAGACCGTTGTCTGCAGAACTTCTTACAAATCTTGAACCTGAGGTCAAGTATTGTCAGAGATCAAGAGCAGAGAAAGGTCAGAGCCTGCATCCCATACAACCTGACAAACTTTAATGCAGATACCAGCCCTGGAAGAAGGGGGCGGGTGGGTGGGTGGGATTACATACAACTATTCAAAACAAATCCTGCTGTAGGCTTCCTGACACAAACTTTTTTCTCTCTTTTTTTTTTTTGGGGGGGGGGGGGGGGGGGGGCTCGATTCTTTCATGTCAGTTATGCTTCATACTGATTCTTTCTGTGAGTTGCTCAAGTTATGGCAACAGTTCACAGAAGGAAGCATAATATAATATAGCATCTGGTCCTTAGCCCTTTTCAGCACAAGGGCTCTCTGCTCTGTCTTGTGCAGAGAAGAGCATGTTATCAGACTTTAATAGATTATGTGACCCTGAATGGTTTAAATTGCCTTGAGTTATGAGTAAATGAAGATATTTCTGACAATGCAACTATCAAACGGTGTTTCTCACTTGAAAAACTACATACTCTGAGCTGCTCCTTGTTCTTAGTGTGAGAACTAGTAGCTCTGAAGAAAAAGAGATAATGGTCCTTGTAGTTAAGCTGCTGCTTGGACTCTGGAAACTGTTTTTAATTCACAGCCCTGTATAGTATTATATAAATCATTTACAGCATGTTACATCAGTAAAATGGGACAAAGCTTTGCTTTGCAGGCTTGAAGTGTTGGTTTGCTCGATGAATGTATAAACTACAACTTTGTAAAACCCACAACTGATGCAAATCTAACCTGAGAGTGATTCCTTTTATTATCAATGGTGAAAGCTTTATCAGTAGCCTTATTGTTAGGATAGGGATAGTATTATTTGGTATCTGGATGTCTTTCTCAGTAGTGATGAATTTATGTATTCTTGGCTACACTTTGCATTCAAGGATTATCAACTCTCAAGGATTCTTGGTCAGTGGGTGTGAAATGTTTATTGTATGTGCTGTGATTAACGTTGTTTTGGACACAACTTAGTTCAATGTCATTAATTTTATTAGTATGAGAAGGTATAGTCAGATGTGGGTACTGTTAAGACATCTAATATCTTATTTTGGCATTACTGCACACTTCAGCATAGTGACTTCTGAGTCTTTCCCAGGTGGATTGAACAGAATCAGGCATCATAATAATCTAATCCATTTATTCATACTTATAGTTCTGATGCGGAGACATATTGCCCGATACTAGTAGACTAGCCATCCTGTGTAGTCTCCATCTCCTACATCACGCCATATACACTCCTCTCCATTATTGGTGAGGGATCTGTGTCATTTACATGTGCATGTATATTTGCTGCTCTGGTACTTCTGTTGTCAGAATATCCCATCTGGAAACACTTTCTTTTCCTAATGAATATGTCATAAGGCAGGCTTAATAACTATCTGGCTAAGCTTTCTCTAGGTAGTTCTTGTTCTCCAATGTCTTCCACATTTACCTGTATGATCTACCATGTGCATGTGCAACTCTCTTTTATTCTGTAGATGCTCTTTCCTTAGAACCAATATGCTGGCTTTTGGCTTTTCTGACCTCTCAGCTCTTTGGTCTCTAAGGCACAGGATATCCCCTATTAAAAGGGAAGCAACAGAGTCGGAAGTAGTTGTAGTTTGTGACTTTACCAGCCAGCACTGGAAATGCTGGTCACATGAACTTGCCACAAGGGGGTTTGTGGGATCTCAAATTATTGTCTCTTTGCAGGGCATCATCCAAGCCTACAAGAGTGGCATAACCCTCCAGTGAAACACCACTAGCCTGGGCAGGTGGGACTTTAGTGGGTCTTTCTTCTTCTCCGTCTCTGCAATAACAACCATTGGTAAGAGTTCCCTGCTTGCAGGGCTGCCTCATGGGTGGGAGAGGAGTGGGAATGAGGACCTGTACTATCAGATGCTGCTCCAGCCCTATGGGGCTTCGTGTAGCTTGTCTATATCATGCAATAGGTAAGCACCTATAAACCTAGCCCTAGAAAGCCTTTGTCAGTGCTAGCACAGTAATGATCTCTAACTAATCAGATACAGGTATAATTAGCTCAGTAGATATCCCTACTAAGTTACGCAGCTTTTGGGGCCTGACCTTCACAGTGCTGCACTGCCTGTACTTTCCCAGGCCTAGTGCTCTCTGAGAGGTCTGAGGTGAATTGTGCATTGAAATGAACTTCTCCTGTTATAAGGAGAGGGGATGATTTTGAAAAACTCTTAATATTGGCTGTTGAATCTTTGGAAACTATATTTATGAATTATTCCTTCTTATTACTCCCTGTATTGGATGAGGACCTGCTTGTTTAGGTGACAGTCGAGTAGCTGGATTAATGAAACAATTCAATTGAGTCAGGTTTCAACAAATTAGTAATGCAAAGACATGAAGGAATGATGGAAATAAGCGGGGGGGAGAACAGAAACAATAAAAAGTATTTAGGTACAGTGTTACTTAAGGCAGGTGCTATTAATTATTGTCAGTGCATGTCCCCAGTCCCCAAAACCGTTAATAACTCGCCCTGATGTCTTTTTCTTACTGTGTGACTCAGTATTATAAAATCCATGGGGGTAGAGTATGTGGAGAGATGGTCGCTGAATACCAAAAAACCCTCACAGGTTTCCTGATTTGTGTTGAATCTGTCAGCTCTCTTCAGTTTCAAGTACATTTTTAGATCAAGAATTTTCTTTGTGCACCCAGGTGTAGCATTCTTTTGATTTCCTTGATCGTTATTGAAGAGAGATTGACTTCAGCATATTAAGACCCCAAACAAGTGCTGAGAGGGAGAAAGAAGGGATGGTTTTTTTACCGAGAGGTCGGGGGGCTCACCTCCCTGTGACTCAGTACATCTTTCTGCTCTTTTGCACGTGTAGTGTTCTGGCTGGGAACTACGTTTGGTGTGTTGTGCTATCTGGTACGGGTTGTACCAGATGATGGCAGTGGAGGCTCATTAGACAGGACTACACAGGCTGTGGGTTTCCAGCGAAGAGCCTGGGCAGTTCCTTCCAGCCTTTGGTACAAAGCAGCTTGCTTTGCCTCAGGAGTTGATCCTCATCGCTTTCTGAGCTGTCAGAGTGACTCTGTTTTACCACAACCAATTTAAGTTAACGACATTCAAGAAGAATCAAATTTGTCATGTTAAAATATAAGGGGGTTTTGTGACGTTGGCAGAGATCTAGACTAAATGTTTCTGGCTGTTACTCCATGAAAGCTTAAGCTACTTTTTCGTTTTTATTTAAGTAAACTCCTTGCCCTGAAGGTGGGAGGGGGTGGGTGAGGAATGACTTGATAGCAGGGGGCAAATATAAAAAGCTGTAGTATTTTGTTCTTTTTATCTCATTCTTTTAAAGCTGATGCTGTGACTTTAGGGACTTGTTCATGATTTTTCAATTGTGGAGTTGAGAATGCTGTACAAGTCACCTCTCTGCAGAGAATTTCAGACAACTGGGTCCTTGATTTTGCTTTTTCAAGTTAAATTGTTAATTGCATACAGGTTAGGGTCTTAATACTCTGTTGATAACAGTATGTTGTAGAAGACGAAAATACAGATAGCCTCACAGAGCCTTGCCTTGAGCCTGTTACGAATCCTCTTTCTTTATGCATGTTCTTGAGACAGTGGGTGGTGCAGCCTCATTGATGCAGACATCACTACATGACTGAGAAGGATAATTGATGATGTCAAGTAAAGAGACAAGGTCCTTTCCAGAGAACTCAATGAAGTTTAGAGGAGTGACTTCACAGTAGGAAGCTTCATGTACAAGGCATGGCTATGGGGTAAATGACACAATTGGGAAGGTTTTTTGAGAAGGGTTTGTTGAGGATTTTGTGCCTTATGTGGTAAGGAAGAGCTTATCCCAGGCTGTGGTATGGAACCATTGAAAGCAGGTCCAGCTTCACAAGGCTGAGATTTTTGGCCAATCTCATAATCTGAATGGAACTGCATTTATAACTTTTGATCATGTGGGATGGGCAGCCCTGGCCTTCTGCTGATTCCTTCTTCCCACTGTTATACTTCTGTGCTTTCTTCATTGCTGTCTTTTCCATGTCATGTCATCCCAGATCTTGTATGTTACCGCATTTTCTGCAGATGTTTCCATAGGAACCCTCTCTAATGCCTTGAAGAGTCATCTTCAGAGTTCCTTTAGAGCTATAGTACTAAACACGATTAAAGAAAGAGAAGCTAACTTGCTGCTGGTTTTATCTCTCAGATGTCTTCATCCCCTGCTGACACAAAGTCTTTTCTTCTTGTCTTCACTCTCTTCCTAGTTATTTTGGGCTAACAGGGTAGAGGTCAAAGCAAGTTCAAAGTGGGGCACGAGGTGAAAGTTCCTAAAGTCAAATGACTATGGGGTGGTGTAATTTCAGAGAAGGTGCTAGGGAAAGGATTTGTGATGAGACTGAGGTTGTCTGTGCTAGCCTAAGAATAGAAGGAAGTATTGTCCTCTCTAGCCTGAATGTCCACCTTTCTTGAGTGGATGGATGTCATTACCTAGTGCTGCCTTCCCATTTTCTGGTGGCAAAGCTAAGTACTCATTTGTATGAATTTCAAAGGTCCTTTTTTAAACATAAAGTAGGGCAAGTAAACCATCTCATGGTGAAGAAAGGAAGGAAGGGGAAAACCTTCCTCCTGTCCTTCCCTTCTCTGGTTAACACAGTATAGTAGCTCCTAACAGCAATCCCCCAAAGGATTGGGGGTTAGCAAAGAGGCAAGGAGCAGGCTATTGAGTGAGGGGTGGTATTTGTTACATTACAGACATTTTATTATGTTGCCACAGATGATTCCTATGGGGGGAAAAAACAACAGCTAGTTCAGGGCTGTGAAGTCCTGGCAGTGTAGGGCTTTGGGCCAGCAAGAGTTTCTAAGATTTTGAGCCTCTGTAGTTCTGCTCAGCCTGTGGTGGAGCTGCTCAGAAATGGCCAGGCTTCTGCCCATTGCTGGCTGATGTTCCACTGGGAAATCCAGTTAAAGCAACTTGATGTCTCGAAGCAGTTAAAACATGGAATAACAGCCTAGGGCCACTTTCACATTTGAATCCTCTATGAACCTCAGGTTTGTGTAGGGGAGTTTTCTGCTGAAGAGTCCCACACCTTTGATACGTTGATCTTTTCCCTGCTCTGTGGCAGCTGGCAGAGCTGCTCTACAGGCTTGGCCAAGTGGGATGTGGCACAATGGTCCATGGGAGGTCACTGGTGGATGTGGGGACAGCACTCACAGTAACATCCTCTGAGCTGTCTCCTGAGCACTGACAAATTTGGTCTGCTTTCCTCCATCTCATTCTTTCGAGACTAAGCCTGCTATACAGCTTCCAGTGTATACACAGTACAAATATAACAAAAAGAAGATGACTGCAATACTCATCCCAAGCATTTTTCTGGCCTTTCACTCACTGAAGGAGCGTGCAACTAAATTTTGCTGTTGCCTGGAACTTCATAGGGCTTAAAATAGTTAAATAACTCTGTTCAAATGTGTTTTTCAGTCTACCACCCTTAGTTATTGGTCTGTACTTCATCACAGCACCAGCTAAAATGAATAGTGATGGACACCTCCAACACACACTCTGGTTCAACCTGCCAGGGTCCCAATGAGAGTGTTCTGAGCTCAATGGCTGTATCCAGCTGACAAGTGTATCCTGCACTTAGAGCAGACTTGGTGAGTGTAGTGTGAAATCTCACAAGAAGCTTGAGAAGCCAAGCAGGTTCATTTGGTATATGTAGCTAGTGCTCACAGAGACATTTGAAAGAATGAGTGAGGATAGGAACCCCCGACTTGCTGATGTTCAGTTGAATGTAGGTGGTATCAGGTTTCCTGGTACCTCAGAAGGTCTCTAGTGCAACCTTCTGCTTAAAGCAGTCAGCTATGAGGTCAGCCCAGGTTACTGAGGGCTTTATCAGGGACACATTTCAGATAAGCTGGGCCCATTTTCAGGAACCAAATGAACACATCCTAAGGCTGTGTGAGTAATCAATAACTTTGGGGGTTTTTCTCCTAGTTTGTCTGCTGTATTATAAGAAGACATCTTTTCCATCTAAACTGAATTTGAGTATTTTTATTTTTCTTATTGCAACATTGGAATTCATCATGAACAAAAACTTTCATTTAGCCCAGATTAAAATATTCAGGTTACTTGTAGGGAGCACAAAGGAAAGAAAAGTTTAGATCTTCTGAAAAGTATTGGAGGAGGAGCTGGTGGTGGAAGCAGCTCGGTGGTTCAAGCACTCCCTGAGGGTGTAGGAGACCAGTATGCAATTTCCTCCTGTGCCTGGGAGAGCAGGATTGTAGCTCACTGGAGACCACCCCACCTGCGAAGTGGAGCATCTTTCTCTGAGTATTTAAATGTGTAATGCAAAATAAAATAATTCTAGCACTGGCACTCCTTGCTGAACTGCCCAGTGGCTCTGTAGATCAGACACTTGTGTGTGAGGCAAGACACCTGGCTCCCAGGCTTTGCTGAGTGTCTGGGTGTTCAAAGCAAAATACTGTCAATAAGAACGTTCTGTAAATTTGGGATTAGGTCATTCCTGTGGGAAGTGATGGCTTGTATCCACTCAGGTAGGAGAAAGAATTAAACCAAATCTCCCCAAAAATGTGTTTGAATACTCAAACAACTGCTGGTAAAGTTTACAGGTTAGAGAAGTGACTCTTCCTCCAGCTTTTTTTTTTTTTTTAAATCCTTCCCCACCCCACCCCACCCAGCTGAAATTATTTGGTGAATTTGCAGATGTTTTTCAGTCTATGAAAGACACATATTTTTGTTCTAAGCACTTTTTGTTTAAAATACTCTTTTACCTCTGGGCAGTGAGAATGGGAGTCAAACAAACCTTCCATTGTGGGTAGCAGGAAGTTGCAGTTGCCGCAGCTGAACTGGAGGCACTGCAGGTAGGATACTGTCTTGTGAATGAAGAGATCTTTTATTGATCATCTGTTAATCACACACCAGTCTACTCCTCTTAGCAAGTCTGCAGAGCCTCTGAATCCCTTATTTACAGGAATGTGAAGGGCAAGCAGGAAAACAAAGCTGAATTTACTTAATATGTGTAACAGAAGCACATAAGTGAAGCATGTGGAAATGAACATTTGGAAATAAGACCACTCATTTTGCTGCTTCTAAGGAAGATTAAGTTACGTTGCACTTTATTTCAAAATGAGGGAAGCTATACAGGCAGTTACTTAATCCAGCTGCTTCATTGAAAATGCTTACGCTTTGACCTTTATGTAGTTTTTGGTGAGCATCCCTCAGTGTCTCTTGGCACAGGCACGTACCAGGTGACATCCCAGTAGCAGCCTTATGAGGGAAGTGACACAGCTGCTAGTGTAGTTTGTCTTGGTCTTTGAACTTGGTTCAGATCTTCTAATGTATAAGACACCACTTAGCCTCATTCCATTTACTGAAGAGGGTAAGTCCCAATTACCCATTCCTGCTTGAGTTTTATAACAATTGATGTTTATATACAAGTAGGTTGGCATCTCCTTGTCTAGTCCAAAGGCAAGGGTGTGTCATCAGCCAGACATAAATTGCCAGCCACTTTGCATAATCTAAAGTCTCCTGGGCTGTTTGATTAAACTTTGTATCCTGTGTAAAAAGCTACTGGGACGTGGCTTTTTGGTGTATTTACAGCAACTACTCACCAAGTCTTCAGGAAATCGTCTTGAGCTGCTGAGCCCAAGGGAAAAGGGACCCAGATAAATTATATGCAAAGCAGATGTAGTGTTTGGTGTGCTGGGCTTACTGTACACATTGGAGCTTCTTACATTATTGAATTTGCTGCTCTAAATTACATGCAATGTACAGCTTAACCTTAGATGCTCTCCAGTCAGCACTATGTAGGGTCCCCAAAACCCTGAAGGCTGCTGTGCTTCACAGAGTGGGCTGAGATCATGGACATTTCTTTCTCTCTTATCTGATGTTTTTCTTCAGGGACTGGATAACCTGGAAAGCTATGGGAAAAAGAACTGCCTAAGGCATTACATAGTCTTTTTAAACTTGATATAGAAGGGGAATAAGGAAAAAAAAAAAAACAAACCAAAAAACCTTGGGAATGACTGACCATAAATGTATGTGACTCATGTTCAGACTCCAGCCTTACAGTAAGCGTAGGAATTAAGCACTGGAATTAAGGCTGCTCTACAGTCTTAGTTTAGCCACTTTGACTGTATCTCAAAACAACCTCTAGCTACATAACGGCATCTGATTTTTTCTGGGAGATGCTCTTCCCCCTCCCAGGGACAGGCTGCTGGGGCCATTGTTTTGGAGGTATATTGTATGTTGCCACATAAATTAAACCCAGGGGCTCACAAGTCATTCAAGCCTAAAATTGTTGAGGGAAAGTCCTCCAGGTAGTAAAATTTTGAATTTGTGGGGGTAAGAGTGAGATGAAAAGACAGCCTATATAAATGCTGTGAAATTGTTTGCTGCCAGACCTTTTTCTGGGGGTAGTTTGCCAGTGCATGTGCACAATTAACTGTTTGCAGAGTTGTCCGCGGTGAGAGATTTTTGTCAGCACAAAAGTTGACACTGAACGCCTAGATATCCCAAGCTCAGAGTTACACACCTTTCTACGTTGTTGGTCGGTGGCTTACTACAGCTGGTGTGGGACAGAGGTTAGTGAAGAAATGGGTACTCCATCTAGTCAACCATGGATATTTGCACTCTCACTTATGTACAGAGCTCAGCCTTTAGACTTCCCCCTCCTGAGGGCTGCTCACTTGCCCTGGGGCTACGCCTCCTACAAGCGTGGTAGCAAGGCGTCAGTGGTGGGAGCACCTCTGTGCTTGCACTGCGTCAACAGTTGGCTGTTGCTGGGACGGGGTATCATTATTTGTGGTGAAAAGATAAGCTTTGCCAGGTTATGTCCATCTTGTATATGGACAAATCTCTAATGAGTGGAAGTGATTTTGAAATGTAGCCAAGACTATAGGTCTTTGACTGGCTAAGTCACTGTTGAAATGCTTGTCATGTGCTAGTCCTTCCCCTGTTTTAAAAACATCCTGTGTAGTAAACCAAAGTTAAATCTGACTTTCCTGTGGCATAAACCACTTGAAATTACAGAATTGCAAGCCTGCAAATTTACAGGACATTTTTAAAAGAAAATGTGGGGAATAAAGACAAATATTGCAGCAGTGATGTTGAAGCCATGATGATGTAAGGATACAAGCAAGGCTGTGCTTGCAGGGCAGTACCTTTTATTAGACCAGTTTATATGATTAGAAGAAAAAGGTAAAATTTCAAACATTTTTTTTCTTTAGGTCTGAAATTGAAGCATTTTATTCAAGTTAAATATAATTTCTCTGGGTTTATTGACTCTAGGCAAATTTTTTGACAATTTAAGCTTAAAGTGTATTTGGTTCTTGTGGCGCGAGAGGAGTATAAGCAAAGAGGAAGTGTTAAGTTCACTAGTCCTGTGGGACAAAGGTAGAAAAAACTTGTTGTTAATTAAAACACTACTGTTGTGATTCAGAGACCATCTGATATCCATGCAGGATCATTTACCAGCAAACCCCATCCCAACAATGCCTACAAAGACTGAACTAAATGGAAGTTTTGCATTTACATCAGATCCCAGCCAGGACAGTGGGTAGGGAAGAGGAAATTCACTGGTAAATGGAAAAGGAACTAAACAAAATCAGCAGGGAAAGAAATGTTATTTTCCAGCCTACAATAGGATATGACAAACAATGGATGTAGCTTACAGTTATTTATGAAAAAGGTCCTTTTGGAGCAGTGACGTTCTCATCTAACTTTTGTAGAAGATGGAGGTTCACCCCTCCAGGGGAGGAGGGCAAGCAGAGAATATGTTCGATTTAACACCTCATTCCTTCCCTGCTTAGGCTATGGGAACCTGAGCCCCAGCACTGCGGCTGGTCGAATCTTCTGCATCTTGTTTGCACTCTTTGGAATCCCCTTGAACCTTGTAGTCCTGAATGAAATTGGGCAGCTAATGCTGTTGGGGGTTCAGCATTGTGCCCGTCGCCTAGAAGAGGTGTTTCACAGACAGGTAAGCAATGTGGACAGATATGCCTTACCCTCAAGTTCAGGAAAGAAAAGACAGAAATGGCATTGTCTGGTATTTGGGATCCTCTGACTAACAAGGACAGCCTGCCTACCTATTTGGCCAAAAAGACAATAATACACAGGAATAACTGGAAGCAAATAAATTTAGTTTATGACAGCTCTATGAGGTGTCAGATAAGGTTGTTTATTAATTGAGGGAACTTCTGTGATGAATGGCTTCCCCTACAGCAGCAGAAGTGCCAGAGCCTCAGAGTGATGCACAGTCCTAGAATATCTGGTCTGTTTATTATCAGTCATAGTTAGAATTGCATGTGTAAGTTACATGGGAACATTGTGGAATAGGCTTTAAACTGGTATGAATTTAGGACTCGCGAAGGTGATGCCCAGTTTGTGTTGACTGGGAGAGCCACACTGTTTATTCTAGTGGAATGTCGTGAATGTTTGTGTGGTTTTTATGGAGTCCAGCATCATCTTCAACCAGAAACTGAGCTGGGCTTTCCCTGCCACCCTTCTTGTGACAGTCTCTTCCTTTTTTTCTGTTTTACTAGAAAAAAGCTTCCCTCCTGATTAAGACCTGTGCACTGGTAACTGGTTTGTTATTGTTCCTCCTGCTACCTCCCTTGTTGTTCTCTGACAAAGAAGGCTGGTCTTATGAAGAAGGCTTCTACTATTCCTTCATTACCCTCAGTGCTATAGGGTTTGGAGATTATGTGGTTGGTGAGTAGTTCACATTTCATTGCTTTCACCTACTAAACATCAAAGCCAAATGTGTGGCGTATGAAGCTCCCAACTTGGCTGTTTTAAACCACTAGCAATCCACAGACCTGGTGATAAATATGTTGTGGTAAGCATTTGACAGGTTGGAGAAGACATGATTTCTGAGACAGTAATGCTACCTGTGGAAGAGCAAAGAAATCGTTTCCCAGACAATGAGTAATCTTCCAGCATTCAGGTGATCTGTCCCCTGAATGACTACAACACCAGACGGGAGTGCTATGCTTTTAACCACAGCAGTCGCTGGTGGTGTGCTTGGTGTGCTCCAGTGCATCAGCAGTGACTAGTTTTAAGCAGATGCTACTCTGCATCATCGTTAACAGACAGTGACCATTTCCTCTGTCAAACCCCCAGAGAACTGCTTTCTAAAAGGCAGCTTAAGTCATTTAGGTGTAGACTGTCAGGCACCAGGCACAGCCTAGTTTTGGTTGCCAAAACCCTTTGCCAGAGGAAATGGGTTTGGACCCATGCCCGATGCATTTGCTGAAACACAGGACACACCTTTTTGATAAAGACTTTCTCATTAAAAACAAATTGATTATAGAAACACACGCACCCTTGAATCCCTGGGAGACAGAAAGACTAAACCATCTTATTACAGATCCTTTCTTTTCTTTTCTTTGTAGTGCTTGCTTGATGCTTGGACAACTTAATGGGGGTTACCTTAGGACTTGTCTATAATGCATCAAAGTTATGACTAGAGCTTGTGTAGGCATGCTTAAATGAGCTGGAATCAAGTTAGCTTGTGTGTAAGGGTAGCCAGATGGAGCTTAACAAAAGCTAGCCAGTTCAGCATTTTCCCACGCTGATTTTATAGATGATGCTGAACTCTGTGCTGTGGCAGCTTTAGTTTTCTCAGTTTCTGATAACTAATTTTGAAGCTCTTCACTAGTGTACCTCCCACTTCCAGGCATACCTTCAGCTGTGTGGTACCTTTGTAACAGGCATACCACCATAGATACACTAGGTTCAGTATGGGAATATGTCAGTGACCTGTGGTATATAGAAGCAAACCATTTTGGCCTTAAAATAGTGTGTTTGTGGTTTATGTCTCAACATAAAAATAATCAGGGTCAGGGCATGGGTTCAAGTGACTGTCACTATTTTGTGACTGTTATGCTGTTTCCCCAATAGTGTGATCCCTGGCGCTGTTCTGGACCAGGTAAATTCTGGGGGATATCACGTGCCAGGAGTGGTGCTTGATGTTCACTTTGGACACAGCTGCTCTGTTTTGGGGGAAATATACGCCAGGCTATGGCACTTGGATTTGAAGTCACAGAGAGGTCCCTAGCCTGTTTTATTTAGTAATGTTGATGTAGCTTCTCTTACTGGCCCTGAAATCTGATATTTTACAAACTCAGTAAGCTGTTCTATTGTACACAGGGTGCCATGTAGATTCTAAACTGCTTCTGATCTTCTTATCCCTGAGACTGTACTTATCGGATGGTCTCTGTGGATAAAACATTCTCCTTGGAAGCCTCAAATAGCCCTTCCCTCTTGTTTTCATTTATTGTTTAGAAGCAAACAATTTTTAAACCTTTGAGTTTAGCATCGGTGAAAGGTGCTTGTTTGAAGGATGAATATAATACGCTTCCTGGTTGAAGTTCACCTTGATGTAGAAAGCTAGCCCAAAGAGTAGTTACCACAGAAGTGGTTGGTAGCTCACAAATATTTACCAGTGGCTTAGTGACAACCTCAAAATGTCTTGTGGTCCCATTATACTGAAAACACATACAATGTGTATTATGTAATATATAATAATACCAAGTAAACAGATGTAAAGGATTGGCTGTTTAATATGGCTCCACTGACCAGTTACTACTTATCACAATCTTGTAGACAGTAACAGTTCATGGACCACTATTTGGGAACTGCTAGTCTGTGCAGGTAATCACAGGACAGTATTCCTACATACAACCAGTCACAGATGATAAATACCTAAACACCTGCCTTTATGGAAGTCCCATTTCAACCCAGCCCTATGTGTACCTTTCATTGGAACATGGTGTGGAGAGTGGCCTCCAAGTTCATGGAGGTACCACCTCAGACATATTAATTCCTCACACTCTGTCCTGACAGTATCAGGTGTTCTGTAGTATCTGCTGTGCTGTAGGTATTCAGTTACAAAGTGACAAACCTTCCTAAGGTAAGAAAACTAAATAATGAGACCTGAGAAGCAGTAGAGAAAAAGCCTATGCAAAAAATCTGCTGCCACTGATTTGTATTCTGTATGTTACCTGTGTTTGTAAGGGTACCCCAGCCTGCTTTACAGATACAGCCTGGTAACTTCATAGGGCTGAACTAATTCCTTTGCTTTGCCTGTTATTATTATTAATGTTACTACTGGCACTAAGCACGTAGAAGCCACTTTGCAGTAAACAGACCTGTGTGTTTGTGTATGGAAGCACAACCAAAAATACAGCTTTGCTCCAAAGGGATCACAAAGTACCTAGCTGAGCAACTGGACAGAGGTGGCATAGTTTCAAGCTGTCTTCTAAGGCTTGGTTGTTCTTAGGGGTTTTAGGACTGCTCAGGCCCCTTCCCTCCCACTCTTAGAGACTAACTCACTCACTTATATCTGGCTTAACAAGATACATGCACCACTACATAAAACCCACTTAGCTCTGTGCCGGCAGGGGACCCCTGTTACATACTAATACAATATTGTGATGCTGAGTGGCAAGTAGAGAAATGAAACTATACGCTTAAATGTGAATAATTTCACTTTGACATAGATTTAATTTGGGATTTATTTTTCTTACGGGTAATCTTCAGAATTCCTAGGGAGTTCTAGGCTGTTGCTTACACATCATAAAACATACCTGCTTACAACATCTGTTCACATGCTAAGTAGATGGCATACCTGTTTTATATAGAAATCACTAATATTAGGTCATATTTCCACTGTCTTTGCTTTACATGTGATGTCTCCTTTGAAGCACTCTTGATCCAATCGAGAAATGTTTTGGGTGATTCTCTTGTAGGGATGAACCCAGACCACACCTATCCAGGCTGGTACAAGAATGTAATCTCTCTGTGGATCCTCTTTGGGATGGCCTGGCTAGCACTGGTTATCAAATTTTGCATCAACTTTCTAGAAAGCTCCAGTGACTTCTGTCAGTGCAACAAGAAGAGCACAGAGATGGCAGAAGACTTAATGGATGGCAACAAAAATAGTATGACAGGACTTCATAATGTGGAGATCTGCAATGACAAAGACACAAAACCAAAAGGACCAGATGAATCTCACACCTACACAGCTCCTACAGAAGCACTCTAGGGAAGAAACATATCCTTGGTGTCTCTTAGGTTTTAGTGCACCAGAGATGCACCACTTAGAAATGTGGGAATGGAGCTGCCCTGATGTTCACATGGATGAAAGCTTGCTTATTGAACTTGAAATACTTCTGTTCTGAATTAAGTGATGTCAACAAAATGTTTCATTTGCAGCACCACCAAGAATTACCAACAGGACTCTTAGCCAAAAGTAGATTTACAGAGATATTACCTACCCTCCCACCTCAATATATGAGGTAAACTTTGATATCTGTGCACAACACTAGCTGTTGTCCTTTTCTTTACATTGAAAGTTCTTGTAGCCTCTGATTGTAAGCACGGCATTTTGCAAATACCACAACTACAAAAGCAAGTGCCATTTAATGCTAGAAACAAATTGCATGCTGCTAGAAGACTTAATGAAAAGCACTAAACTTATCTGGCAGTCACTGCAAAGGTGCTCCATTACCTATATGCTTGTGCTTGCCAAAGGTGGTAACATGCTTTTGCTCTCTGATCATTAGTACATGGATGGCAATGAGGCAGGGGTTGTAAAGGTGCCTAATAGAAACAAATAATTAAATTTTTTAAAAGAAATTTCTACATCAGAGGTCCACTGATATTAAAAAGAGACTAGGTAGATAAGCTATTCCTTACTCCAGAACTTATGTAGTCTTATCCCACGTGAAGTATTACATAGACCAAATGTCATCAGCTAAATGTGATGGTTCATTTGGATAGATTTTTATTTTGCCACATCTTGAAAGCCAGAAAAGGAGGACTAGAGGCAGTTTTAAGCACCAGTGGTTCCAACATTATCCCGTGGCCAATGTTAATAAGGGCTACTTTAATCTAGAAACAGACTGAAGTATCTTCAACTGTGATCAAGACATGCTATTCTGATGAACTTCTCATGTCATATAAGTACAACTATCTTTTGATCTGTGGAATGCCAGACCTGCTTATTTGGCCTTTGTGTCAATCCTGAAACAGAACTGGTTTTTTTTAATTCCATTAAATTCTCAGAAATCTTTTGATAAATTATGCCATTTATAAAGATCCAACAGAGTCTAACTCCTGCTGCCATTTAAATACCCATATCTAATCTTCTCATTTTCTTATTCCTGTTGTGCTGCTTGCATCCTAGAGCATTAACTTTGAAAACTTGACCATAGTAGTAAACCAGAACAAAGCATTTGGGTGAGCCTTCAGCTGCTGTGTTCGACCAAGATTCCACATGGATGGTGGAGAAAAGACTGAAAACACAGTCTGTTGGAGTGCAGGACTCTGGAATTAGAAATATCCATAGCTGGATTCACAGAAATGCAGAAAGTGAAAAGTTTACAGTCTTCAGGAACAGAAGTTCTGGAACATGCATTGTGGAAAAGAGTATTTCCAGAGTAGGCCAGTCTGAGTGTTGATATATGGTAGAGCTCATTACAGGAGAAAATGCAGGAAAGGAATCTGCTGGATGAAATTTGGTCTGTCAACCTTTTGTCAGCCTTTTCATCACTGGCCTTTTGCCAACTCCATAGTAATAAATTATCTCTCAAATACTGTTTCAGTGGGCAGCAGAGATAAGAAAGGGAGGTAGTAGAAATCTCAGGTCATAGTTGGGAAACTGATGCAAAATAAATACATTTCAATTTTTGAACATTGGGTAACTTCTTTAGCAGCCTTTAGTATAAACTTTTCTGTTTCTTCTATGTTTTGTGTTATTTTTGCTGATGGATACACAATATAGGTTTTACTAAAGTTTATAATGGGCTAGCCTACAATAAGACCAAAGTGAATTTCTTTAAACCTAAGTGAATTACAATTCCACGGCATAAAATTGATGCATTTTTATGCATATCCTTTGCACCTTCTTTCAGGTGCAAAACTTAATAAATATAACTGTATTGTAAAATCTGGATGCACAGAAGGTAGTAGGAGTTTCTACTGTCAAAGCATGGGAATGACTATGCTAAATCTATTTCAACTTTAACTTGAAATGTCACAGGTTCTGGGAATTACTACCACCTCTGCTCTTTGAGAAGGTTTAACTTGAGAAGAGTTTCTTCTTTTCAATTTGAATGTCTATTATATTAATCACATCTAATTCATATTCCCATGTACTTGTAGTTGTGGATGAGGTTTTCAAAAGTGCCTTAGAGGTTTGGGCACCCTGGTCCCACTGAAGTGCAAACATAGCTGCATGCCTTAGGAGAGCTAATATATACTTCTGAAAGCTAAAAGGAAGAGGAGCTCTAGGAGTAGTCCTGAAAAAAAGAAAAACTAGTAATTCTTCATAGGTCTCGGTGCTTCCACTGTATGTGAGGGTTCAGCCACAAACCTAAGCATGTGGCTGGGTCTCAAGGTGACTCAATATCTGTCCCAGCAATCCTTGCTTATTCACCTCGTTCCGCAGCTGTGCTCTTGTATTACTCAGCAGCTCACAACCAGCAGAGTCCTGCCACTAACTGTCTGATACAGCATAATTTATGGGAGGCACATCTGAACTGCTTGCAAGCCACATGTAGCTCCAAAGCTGCAAGTTGCCTGGTTGGGTCTTGGATCACCTAAAAAAATATGAAGTGAGTCAAATACCATCTCTGCCTGGGTTCTCTGACTCCAAATTAGCATGTTGTCACTTATGAATACTCTTTTATTGACAGTTCCACAGCTAGCTTTTGATGTGGACAATAAATATTATTGTATCTAAGTCCTCACAAATGGCTGTGTCTCTAGTCTTTCTGTTCTTTATAAAGCTGTGTTGTGGTTAAATGACATGGATGAATTTGTTTCCAGAGGGATGAGAAGAAAGTGGAGTTTTGCAACATCATAAAAACATCATCACCAATGTGTCTACTCTACCAAAATATGAAAGGTTATCTGCTCAAGGGTAAAATAAAGACAACAAAAGCATGGTGCTGTTATCATTCTTGTCACAGCTGACTTGCAGTCTTCTGTAATCTGCATTGGAAAATTACAGATGCTCCTTGATTGTGTGGTGCATTTTGTTTTGTTTTGTTTTTTAAATAATGTCTCTTCCTGTTCAGATAAGTGTGCAGTTTCCATTAGTGCTTTTGGGTTAGAAATTCACTGCTCTTATTCTTCACAAGTTAATTCTTCCCTGTTATCCTGTTTTCTTCCTTGGGAGAAGTAGGGGCTGGAAACAGGTTCAGTTAGTAAGGATAGTTGTAAATATTTATGTAACATCACTGTCCAGAGGCCTTTTCACAATCACATAGACCATAATGTGCTTCTGACCTTTATACAGTTTCCCAGGAAATCAATCCCTTAAAGCAAGAAAATAGGCCTCTGTCTAGCTCCCCTACTCCAAGGACAAGTCCTGGCTTCAGCCTCAGTGTTTCTCATGCTGGCTTTTTCACCTAGTCCAAAAGAGATTTTTACCCCTTGGGGAGAGATATGTCCAGAAATATGTAATAAGATGTTACAGCAACATAGTACAGACTGCTCAGAACTGCACAGTCTTTGATAGTCTAGTTGACTACAGTATTTTAAGATCCCTAGACTAGAAAAAAAAAAGCCCCATGATGGTCTCCAAGTCAAAAAAATCCAGGATGACATTTTTCTCACAGTGGTTGGCTGATGAGATCTTAACTTGCAACTGATATCTTATTGCACAACTGATATCCTAGCTCAGTTTAGAGCTGGGACTGTTTAGCCTACGAAAGAGAAGGCTCAGGGAGATCTAAACAATGTATATAAATTCCTACAGGGCGGGTGTAAAGAGGATTGAGCCAGGCTTTTTTCAGTGGTGCCCTGTGACAGGACAAGAGGCAATGGGCACGAACTGAAACACAGAAGGTTCCTCCTAAACACCAGGAAACACTTTTCACAATGCGGATGACTTGAGCACTGGTACAGGTTGCCCAGAGAGGTGATGGAGTCTCCATCCTTGGAGGTATTCAAAAGCCATCTGGACACAGTTCTGGGCAACTGTCTCTAGGTGACCCTGCTTGAGCAGGGGAGTTTGAGCAGATGACCTCCAGAGGTCCCTTCCAACCTTAACCATTCTGTGATTCTGTGTTTCAAGGTCAAGCCATTCTCCTCCTCATAGTCCATAGTCCACAGCCTGCCACTCTCTCCAAACTATCTCCGTTAACATTCAGGTTGCATGCTCAGCAGGCCTGGTAGACCTGATTCTTCCCAGGGAAGAAATGGATCTTTCCAGTCTGAGTGAGCTTGATGGGGTGGTCTATTTCTGTATGTTTTTCATAAAAACTTACAGAATTTTCATTTATCTATACAGATATCAACCAAGATTTAGGTTCTATTGTATTGGACAATTTGTAGACACTAATTATTTTTATCTCACAGAGAACATCTTTATACAAAGGGTAGCACAGAGCAGATACAATTAGTTGGAGGGGGATCTCCTGCAGATTTTTAGACAGCATTGTGCCATTCCAAAAATGTGCAATAATGTTCAGCTTTTCAGCTTGGTGTAGCCTCCTCTCATTGTTATATACCTGCCTACAAGTTTCAGTAAAAGGATTCAACGCTTCATCTCTGACACACTTCAGGTAAGGCAAACCTCACTTTGGTTTTCTCTTTCTAAACTAAAGGGTTACAAGTGGCTACTTACCAATTGAATCAGGGCAAAATTTTAATGTAATTAGGTCTTATAATACAAGCTTGCCATCTCTGTAAATAAATATTCTGGCTGATAGAAGAAGGGGATGCAATAAAAAATTGGTCTTTTCGTAAAATTATGTGGAAGCTTACAGCTGAAATGGGGTTGCGTCTGAACGTTTAGGCAACTATCTGTCAAGCTGCATAGTTCTGGGCAAAGTTGCAAAGGTTTCTTAGAAAGATGGGTGATTATAATGGAACAATATCTGTGCCCTTAAAAATTCTCATCTCTCAGGACTGAGATTCAAACAGCTGGTTTGAGGGGTTTTTCTCAGAGATAAACTGATACACGTTTTAAGCTAGCACTAAAGAAGTAGAGAGGATCTCTGGTACCTCCGAGGTCAAGGCATGTTGCAGTAAGAG